GGGGGGGGGGGGGGGGAGTAATGAGAATCCGGGGCATGATGCAGGATACATGCGACGTGTCCATGCCCCGGTCCTCCCCCCCCCTCCTGCAGGGCCGCCTATTGGTGGTCGGCGGAGATCGCCGAGCTTAGGCACTCCGCCAGCCGCGCCTGGAGGGCGATGGCGGCTCTGCGGGACAGGGACGCGCGGGTGGCGGCATCGGCCGTCCTCACTTCCAAGAGGGCGGCCGTGAGTAAGGCCATTGCCAAGGCCAAGGTCGGGGCCTGGGAAGAACTCATCTCCTCGGTGGACCAGGATCCGTGGGGGTGCCCATACAGGATGGTTATCTGGCGTCTACGCCCATGGGCGCCCCCGATAACAGACTCTCTGGACCCCGGGCTCCTCGATAGAATCGTGGAGGGGTTGTTCCCGAGGGTGGAAAACTGCGTCCCATCCTACGCGGGACCTCTTCTCGACTGGGAGGAGAAGGGGCTCGGGGTAACGATGGAGGAGATGAGGCGAGCCGCCAAGATGCTCGGCGCCAAAGGAAAGGCGCCGAGTCCTGACGGCATCCCAGGCCGTGTATGGGCCTTGGCCTTTGCCAAGGAAAGGAGGGTGGAGGCCCGAATGAGACGACTCTTCACCCTCTGCCTTGGAGCTGGCCTGTTTCCGGCCCCGTGGAAGAGGGCCAGCTGGCCAGACTGGCCAGACTGGCCAGACTGGCCCTCTTACGCAAGGAGGGCAAGCTGGAGAACACCCCTTCCGCTTACAGACCGTTGTGTCTTTTGGACGAGGCGGGCAAACTGTTCGAGAGGATTATTCAGGCCCGCCTCTTCCGGCACCTGTCCCGGGATGGTCCCGCGCTGGACGACGCGCAATATGGCTTTCGCTCGACCGTGAATGCCATCAAGCGCGTCAGGGCCCTCTCTGAAGCCATCGTGGAGAAGAGGGGGGGGGGTGGCGTTGGCTATCTCAATCGACATAGCCAACGCCTTTAACACTCTCCCCTGGGACCGGTAAAGGCGGGAATGGCCCATTTTGGGTTCCCGCCCTACCTGGTCTATATAATTAGGGACTATTTCCTGAATAGTGCGAAACTCCAATGCGGAAGAAGGGTGTACTGTGGTGTTTCGCAGGGGTCAGTGATCGGCCCCTTATTGTGGCACATCGCGTACGACCAGTTTCTCCGAACTGCCCTCTCCCCCGGCTGCCGTGTCGTGTGTTACGCGTACGACACCTTGGTGCTAACTGGGGGACGGGGCTGGAAACAGGCCAGGGACATGGGGCAACTGGCCCTCGACTAGATGGTGCACCCCATCCGTAGCATGTATCTCGAAATGTCTCCCCCGAAAACGGAAGCTTTGTTCTTCCACGACGGGAGCAGAGGGAGACCACCTCGGTTGAAGCTCCGGATTGGCGGGATCTCCGTGAGGGTGGGCACCGAGATGAAGTACCTCGGGCTCACCCTGGATGGCACTTGGGGTTTTGAGAAACATTTTGAGGTGTTAACCTCCAAGTTGGGCAGCATGGCAGGCGCGCTAGAAACCCTCCTGCCCAATGTCGGCGGCCCGAAAAGACGGGCTAGGCGGCTGTTCGCGAACGTGGTCCACTCGGTGGTCCTGTACGGGGCCCCGGTCTGGGCGGGGGAGATGGCCGGGTCCCGGCGGATCAAGTAAATGGTCCGCCGGCCCCAGAAGTTTATGGCCACTCGCCTCGCCCGTGCCTATAGGACCGCGTCGCACGCGGCCGCCGCGGCCCTGGCAAGAATCTCCCCGGTGGAGCTCCTTGCAATGATGTACGCCGAAAATTATCGGCATACGAAGGAGTTCCTCGGAGGGAGCAATAGGATAGGACTAGCCAGGGCAATAGCTTTTGCCAGGGAGCAGGCTCGTCAACGCCTCCTCTTCCACTTGTTGTGCCCCAAGTGGAGAGGCACGTTGAGTAGGTTCGGGATCGGTGGGTCGAGAATGCAAAAGGCGAAATGATGTAGTTCAATAAATAAATTTAATGCACTTCTTGTGTAAACTTCCCGAGTTCTTATTAACTAATACAAATTGACGGTCGCGTAAGTTGCTGTCGCAGGACCGGAGGAGCAATAACCTGTTTGGCGTTCTTCTCTGGTCCTTTTATAATCTATAATTAGGGCATAGGCGGGGGTGTTTAGACAACTGTAAAGTTGTTGCATTTAATGCTGACCTGTCCCCAATATGTTGTAATATATTTTCAAGGCGACGCTTAGCGTAGCACTTGCGCAATCATAATAATGTTGTAGCGCTGTCGAAGCGGTTTCTTACGAAACGTTTCGGCAACGCTAAAAATAATACTAACGATTATAACACGCTAGAACATCCAGCTGGGGGAGGCGACGGGCCGCTCCGGGAAGAGGGTCGCCGACGCCATTCGGCCCTGCCTACAGGAATGGGTAGGTAGGGCCCACAGGGAACTCACGTTCTGGACGACAAACGTACTCACTAGCCACGGTTGCTTCGGTGGGTACCTCCATAGAGTCGTCCGAACGGAGTTCGGCACTAGCCGCTGCCACCATTGCGATGCGGCTGAGGACACGGCGCAACGTACGCTGGGAGAATGCCCGGCGTGGGAGGGACAGCGCCGTATCCTCATAAGCGTGGTGGAAGCGGACCTCTCGCCCCCGGTCCTCATTAGGGCTATGCTAGGGGGACGAGAGGCCTGGTCAGCTGTTACCTCCTTCTGCGAGGATGTAATGTCGCGGAAAGAGAAGCAGGAGAGGACCAGAAGGGGGAAAACAATTGTGGGGAGGCGGCGAATTCGCCGCGCCCACCGCGGTTGGCCGGCGCAATTATTGGGTGTGCCGGCACCAGCCAGGAGAGCGCAGGCCGGCGCAATTGGGAGGGTAGACCCCTCTGCCGGGGTCGCGCCAGCCGCGCCCAGCAGCCCGCCCCAGAGGAGGAGGCGGGCCTAGGAGAGACGCCGGAGGAGGAAAACCGCCGCCGCAAGAGCAGCTGAAGCTCGCAAGCGGCGGCTCCAGTCCCTCCGCGACCGGCGCCGCCAAGTTCCAGGGGCGGCGCCGGGAGTGGCTGACGTGGGAGAGGGGGTACGGTAATGGCGGTGCGCGCCTCTCCTTCGGGGGGGGGGGCAATGCGGGCGCACTCGCCGCCGCCCTCCCGCTCTCCCGGGAGAGGGGGGTCTTGACCGTGTTGGGGGAGGGGGCCACTATATGCCTGCTCCTCCCCCCCTGTAAGTCGGTCGGGACCCCGGAACTTGGGGCGAGAGACCAGGTGGCGAACCGGCCCCGCCCCCTCCAAGGAGGAACGGGCCGCGCAGCGTGGGGTTCCGCGCTGCGCGGCTACATGACGGCAACAGGCCGGAGGGCATACTTCCGCTGTCCCCCTCGTCAGGGTGGCGGGGGCGGGTGTCGTTAGACTCAGCGGCATCCACCCTCCGGCCTGGGAAAGGAAGGCGTAAGCCTCTGGCGGCCGAGGGCGCCCCGGAAGGATGCAAAAAGCTACCCGGGGCGTCCTCATTAAGGCCGCCGAGTAAGGGACCCGGCAGGGGTTT